CATGTGCAAATTTCGAAAATTTAATTCTAAATTAAGGTAAAAGTAATTTCAACCTAAAGGATATAAATATCAATCCAAACAAGTTAATGGGCTAATTGAATTGATGGACAGCCTTTGAAATAATCAAGGAGATTATATCAAGCCCAATCCATTATTGCAACCAAATCCACCCTAATAGATTGGGCTTTTACAGTATTTTGGCTACCCAATGTTGCATTCTTGTACAAGTGAGTTCTTGCGCTGCAAACTGAACAATAAGTTATGAATCTGCATTCTCCATTGGATTAAATTTAGCGTACTTTTCAAGATAACTTGTAAGTAAGAGTTAAGGCATTTGCATAGTTTCTTTGAGTTATGGATTCTTTCTAGAGAAGCTGACACTCAAGATGCCCAAGTAATTAACCAAATGACTACTGAATGGGAATAGGTTTTTATTGACGCAGCTGTTGTAATACTGATTTTTTGTTCTTTCAGTGTTATAACTGCTACTGAGTGTGACATCCTCAAATATGGCTTCTCATGATAGTTAACAGTAAACCCTTCTCTTTGGGAGAAAAAGGAAAGAAAAAAGCAGTAAATAACATTTAATTTCTCGTTTAGGTGATTGAAGCAGATGAGGTAAATAAGACGTTGGCATTCTCAGAAAAGGCGGCCAGCTGGTCAAAGTTCTCTCCTCAACTGAAGTTAGGAGACATTTATTATGGCAGGGTAGGATCTGTGAGGGAGTTTAGCGCCCATGTTCATCTCCGTTTCCCAGATGGTATATATATGTACTTGTAACACTTTTAATAAATTTTGTGTGCAAATTTGGTGTAGCAATTGTTGGCACGACAAAATCTTACACATATCTGTGGGTTATGATTTACTAGTTCAATACGCAGGCTAGGTCAAAATCAGGTCTGATCCGAATAATAAGAATTTAAGATTGGTTGCTGAAGATTTAGTTTGAAATTATGCAATGAACTTATTTGACCCCATTATGATGTTATTGTGTCAGTTGGAAAATCCCTTTTTGTTGCATATGTTGTTAGTCTAATTAGTTAACTGTAAAATGATCAGATTTAAGTAATTAAGAGAAATAAGACGTATGACTCATATAATTCAAAAACTATAGAAGTATTGGTTTCTTAAAATGGAGTTGGAAAAATGATAATCTGTGTCAGTTTAGGGTTAGGAAATCTGAAATGACCAGTTAAATGGGTAAGACTGAGTTGAAAAATCTGGCGCAAAGAATAAGGAGGTTATGCTGTATATGATAGAAATTACACCCCTGGTGCAAATTATCTGATATTAAAATCTCACTCCTGGATCACTTTGCAGGGCTTTATCACCTCACTGGAAGAGTGCCTGTTTCAGAAGTATCATGGGACTTGATCCATGACGCGAGAGATGTCCTGACTGAGGGTGATGAAGTGAGAGTCAAAATTGTGCATATAGATAGGTGACCGCAATATTCTACTCTAAATCCTATAAATATGTTCCTTTTACTCTTTGATATTGCTATTATAGAGTTGCCTGCTCACCAATAACTCCTCGTGCCCGTATATGTGGCTTCTTTCCTCATTCAAAGAAGTACGTTAATATGCACAAGTATGTACGATTTATATTGACCATTATCTTGCAGGAAAAGTGCACGCATCAAATTGTCCATAAAACAACTGGTTGAAGATCCTCTTCTAGAAACTTTAGACAAAGTTATTCCTCAGGTACCTGCACTTTATTTTCTATGCTGAGCAATTTTCTAACTATCAGTGTACAGTCGGAACACTGATGCATGCGTTACAGGATGTCTCAGCAGATCCTGATGCATTAGATGAAAGCGATCATTTTACCATCGAACCTCTTCCTGGGCTTGACACAATACTTGAAGAGCTATTGAAGGAAGATGGGTATGGTTGCAATGAGAAAAATATAAATTCACTTATCCAGATTCCAGTGTTCTCGTCTTTTCCTTATATGGGATAGCTAAGTGTTTGTATACAAATTCTCTTAATCCATATTCAATTCATACTCAAAATCTAACTCAACTTTAACTAAACTCCACTATCCTCAATATTATTATCAATATAATTAAATAATACCAACCAATCATTGTTACACATCACATCAATTTTAATTTACTATTAATCCACTCTCACAATTTTAACTAATTATCACTTCATATCATCTCTCTCCTACTTTTACATCAAATCAACTTTAATTATTTTATTTTAAATATTATTTTTATACAAAATCAGAATCCCACTAACAAATAACCATACCTCTTTTTTTAAAATTGATTGCGGTTAACAAAAAAACTCATTTAGATATATTTGTATATAAACAACTTGGACTTTGCTGGTTTTGCAGCCCATACTTGGTTGAGTAATGTGATCAAGAAAACTTAAATTCTCACATGAATGCTTCCGCATTTTGATTCTTATATGCTCTTTTTTTCTTTTAAAAGGGTCAATTTCCCTGGTTCATGAGGTATTCTAATCGCATCCCTTCTAAAGTGCATGTTTATTTGTTTGTTGCCCTCGAGATTTCTGTTAGTCCTTCGGTACACGTTTTTTGGCTCCATATAGTTGGAAAGTTGTAGTGAATGCCTGACCATAGATAGTTGGCACCTGTTTTTTACTTTTTGAGCTGTGTTTCTGCATTCCAGCATAGATGGTGTGAAGATCAGTGGACAAGGATATGAGAAAAGGGTAGTTTCCCAGGATTTGG